TAGGTAGGTAAGGCGTCTGTCTGTCTGGAATAGATAGTCAACGGGTAGTGAGAATCTTTGAGAAACGAACCGGATTGGATGAAGTGGAGGCACACAAAGCAACTGCATCCGTTACGTACATACCTAGGTATCTACCTCTACCTACATGCTCTTTAACCCTCATCCTGGCCGAATCTGGACCTCGTCACTTTTGGATATTGGGGCCACCAGACCTCATTTCGGTCATCATCCATCCACTTGGAACCGCTATAGTTGCTCTCTTCCAAAAACTCCAGTATTTTGGGGCCCAAAAGAGCTTCTTTTTCTATGGAGCGCAGAAATTCGTATGGACATCTTACTGGACGTTGAAAAAGATAACCGACATGGATGATGGATGTAAGCATATTGAAAGTTGGGAGTGTGGACAGAGAGGGAAAAACTCTTCCTTTTAGAAGTACGTATGTCCGAGGATATCGTTTGGTGTGGGGAACCAACAACTCCAAGGGATTGCAGTAGGTGCCCATAGGTAAGTGAGAACAATGTTAACATGATAAATAATATCTCTACATATGTAGGCGTCTTTTGGTTTCAGGTCTGCCGGTCGGTGTTACTTTTTTGCTTAAGCCCAGTTTATAAGTCAGATACAGCTATCGCAGCGAACTTATGGGAGTTGGTGAAGTCGAAAAAGAAAAGAAGTAGAGTCTAAGAGATATTTTGTGACTCCCGATCGACCGCAACCAGAAACAAACAGCTGACCAAAATGTAATGTGTAACAACTGACAGAAGAAACAAAAAGAAAAGAGCGTGCTATAGTAAGTTAGCTACCTCTATGGTCCTGAATGCTTGTAAATCTTGGCTAGGCACCTGACGACATGGAGCAACATCTACCTGGATGTCAGGATAAGGTAGGTAGTCTCGAACCATAACCGTTGTTTTCTGCCTTTGATTTGGTCAAGCCCATTAACCCAATATAGATGTTCGAAACGAGTACAGTAGTGTAGTCTAGGCTATAAACAAACATCCATACACTCATTTCGGCCATCAAGCGGAGACCTAACTATTTACGTCTTGGTAAGTGATCATCATCCTCGGCACATATCCTCATCTATCTCCAGCTCTAAATCCGGAGCAAACCCGGGTCCTATCTCATCTCGATACAGTTGTGCAAAACATATGTGAGCTCTGTTGGTTCCAAGGTATGTAGGTAGAGGTACGTATACCTACATCTGGCCATCTCTTGGTTATGTGTTGTTGTTGTTGTTGTTGTCGTTATGTGTTGCACGTGCTTTCCCCATCACAATACGTACAAAACGCTAGCAAAGTCTCCGAACTTGTCTACGTTGAAACACAAGCTTGCATTTCCAGCTTCAACAACTGCAACTGGACTCCATGATCATGAAGTTTTGAATTCCGAAAAACAACCTGGAAGGCATCTTTACGTAAGGTTGGCAACATGCCACTTAGGTAGTAGTGTAGTACCTTTACTGTGTGTGCAGGTATGGGACTTGTGTAGTATCGTAGCAGTAGCAGTTTTGTGGACAAGGATGGCCTAAGTTAGGTCCCGGTGTTTTGGGAAAACTGTGGCATACGCAGTAGCAACGCAGTAGTGTGATGGTAGTGTGAGGTAGGGGCTGGGGGTTACTAGAGGTAAGGAAGAGATATCTTCAGTTCTGGCTAGTTTAAAAACAAACACAAGAGCTGCGTTATTTCCTCTTTGAACGCCGCAGTTTAGGTATTTTTACTTCACAGGGTGATGATGTGGTATAACGCCAAATCAGAAAACGGCAAGAAAACCGGAGATGAGTAAAGACGGACCATTACTGCGTCCCATATTTCAGGATGGAAAACGGAGGACTATCAGTAGGTATCCAACAGTGTCCAACACTAGAGCTTTCTAGGTTCAGGGGACCACGTCAAAAAGGGCTGAAGGGGGAAGACCCTTGAATTACATCCCTCCCCGATAGTTACTCTGCCAAACAGGCCTGGACCTTGTTGACGTGGGATGGCGTGTGTCGGTAGGTAGCCTGTTAAGGAAGTGGTTTGGTGGTTGATGTGGATTGTGTGGGGGGAGAGCCTGCTTGTTGTCAGGCTATGTCTCCGGTGACGTTTCTTCAACAAGTAACAAGGCCTCTGAGCGTAGACGAAGGGCGGCGGGAAGACACGGGAGTGAAGCTCGGTCAAAGAGGAACATCTACATGTGCTGTCATGGCCTTCATTTGCTCATCGAATACGGTAGGTAGCTCTTCTCTCCCTGATGGTTCCTGGGTGTTCTAGCGTGGAAGGCTCACTGGGAGATACTGTTTTCAGCAGGACCGTGGAAAGAGGACTTCGTCAGAATCAACTAGTTTCGACAACTCCATCAAGATGTCCTGATCTGTCCTGAGTCGAGACAGGCCCCAGCGTGTACTCCATCCACCCGGAAATTAGCATGCGCTGTACGTGGACTTACGTGCTGCCCTTGACCTTGCGTTGCCGTCGATAGTGTTGGTTCTGGGTTATCAGTTTGCCAGATCTTTGTAAACTGTGTGGATTGTGTAGTGTGGAGATGGTGGGTTTGAGCTGGGTGGGTCTTAGCTTTGTCGACGTCGTTGACAAGAAACTGAATGAAAACGCTCCGCCAACGGAAGTGGGGAACACATGTTCGTGCACTGTACAGATTTTGCTCACAGAACTTGACAAAAACAAATTCAAGGAAAGTCATGGATACTGTGTGGTTTTTTTTTTTCTGCTCTCGTCTCGAACGATCGGGATAGGGTAAAGATTAGCGATTTGAAGCTTCCGGGACCTGGCCTGAAGATCGAGTTGCTGGGGAGCCCATAACTTGCGGCTTGCTGGGCAAGGTGAGAGGAATCTTTTTTCGGAAAGCCTCATGAGGCAATGTTCAGGACGATCATCCTCGGGTTTTTCGTGTTTTTGCTCTACACTAGGGTCGCAACCATATGAAGAGCACAATCTCGATGATGGATCAGTGTCGGCGTAGTCGTGCAGGTGGATATTCGACCAGGCTGTGTCTCGTGGGTGTGGTTGTAGGTGAACGGAGATTCATCGAGATGCTGATTACGATATGCGATAGGGAGCAACGGAAAATAAATCTGGGAAATCAGTGCCAGCCAAGAAGTCATGCTATTTCAGTCTCGGTGAGCAGGCGGAAGATTGGCGGCAGGAAGGTATGTTATCAAGAAACTAGGTGGATATGAGAGGCAGTAAAAGGATGCAGCACCCTGGAGGCGGAGGAAGTTCAAACGAGCTGGAAGTTGAACGAATGCCCGATGTTGGTTATCTAGGCCCAGGTTGTGGTTTTCTTGCAATTACTAGCCACTGCTATCATGCGTACTTTGCTCTGGGAAAGGAGACTAGCAACACTGCCGCACTCATGAATAGGCAGACCCCATAAGCAAAGATAGAAGTAGGTATTGGTCAAGCAGCCTGCTTGAAACCCAGCTTGTAGCCTAGAAACATGCTGGGGGGAAAGGATGCTGTTCGAACAAACTCAGAAGAAGTGTCCACAAGAAGTCGAGTGAAACGAGCTTGAAAACTGGAAAAGACACGGGAACCGCCGCAGACAGAAAGGATACTTGTCGCCTGTGGCTACGCATGGCTGGCTTGCGCCGGCACGACACCTTTAGGCCACTTGTTGAGCAGTGTACAGAAAGAAAACACAGGATTAAAGATGTTGATACTACTTATATGGTTAATCCATCGTAAATCTTGGGTACGGTTCGCTGCAGTGCGACTGTCAGAAGGGATCAAAAGCCATATTCCCATTAGAAACTTTTAGGACTCAACAGACAATGGCAAAGTAGGGCTGCGAACGGAAACAAAAGGGATCCCACCTTCTAAGCCCAACCCGAACTCGGGCTAGGTGAACTTAGGTTGTCAACTACAGAGAGAAATGTGTAAGATGTCATGATACTAGTGATGAAGATGCGAAAAGATGACCAGAGCTCGAGTCTTTGGAGGACAGCTATGTCCTCTTTACGTTAAATGACCTCGCTGAAAGGTACCTTTGAAATCATTGCTTGGGTCTATGTAGACAGGATATAAACCATGGGCATGTAGCCAGGTGTACGCTTCGACTGCTTGAAAGGCTTGTCAGTTCTTGGATTGTCTGATGGATCAAGTGAGTATGACCAGCGGGCGATGCAGGGTTTTTTAGAAGAAATGTCACAAGCTAGGCAACAGAAAGGAATTGTAGAACACAGAAGACAGTCGGGTCGGTGATCGTAGAGCTCCATAGCTGCGAAACTCAATGAAACAAGCCCGTGACTGGGTGAGAACTCTTTTGTGGCTTCCCTAAACGAGGCTTCCTCCGGAACATATGTGTTGTTTGTAGGTTCCTCTTGATCCTATCTTCTAGGCCACAACGTGCGGCAGTACTTTACGGCTCGGATGGAAATCGTCGAGACCATGCACCGCGTGCATGAACGAGATGGGTATCAAAGACATGGCAACGTCTCTCCACGGTCATGAGGCTCCTGGAGCAAAAACCCCCGTTCGGCAGGAGGACAAGACTCGTCAAACCATGGAGATCCGGAGAGAGCACCATGTGCACGTCTGTCGCGGTGGTAACAAGCGAGCGATGGCTTCGCCTTTGATGTTCCGAAAGCTCAACCATCTGAAAAATGGAGTTGGATCGAAAGGTAAGAGTGGAAGTCGGGTTGAATGAGATGCCACCAACGCCCCGCAACAAAGAGTCAATAGTCCATGTGGACGTCTTCGAGTGCAGTTGGCCGTTGAGCGGGATGAATGATAATGGGAAAGTGACTGTTGGTCGTAGCTCGCCTATCTGCTCATAAAAGCGGCTTCTGGAACGCAAAGGTTGAATTTTCACAAACAAAGACAGACGTACAAGGACAAAAGCCGCAAGTGTGGTTGCACAGTTCCCGTCCGGGATCATATGGCATTAATGCTTCGATTGCGCAAGATAACAAGCCGCTTTCCTTTTGTCCTAGACGATTCCGTGGCCCAGCACTCGTTGGACGAAACATTTATGGTAGGCACAATGAGATAGTTCCCTCCATTCACGCCTTCCCTCCTAAGTATGTGATGTTCTCCTTGATAGCATCGGTTAACTCTCCCTGCTCAGTGCAAGCGTAGCGGAAGGTTTGGTACCACGCCTTTGGGTGAGGCATTGGTAGTTCCAAAATGTCACCAGGTTCAACGGTCTTGCTATGCAAATATAGAGCGATGAGCGGGAAGAAATAGCGTGCTAGTTCATAGTCTACGAGGAGATTAGTAACTTTACAGATAGAGGACATGAATGAGGGCACTTACGAACTGGTAGTGCCATTTCGCACCATCGGTCTGCTGATAATATTGGGGCGGACAATCGACGATGCTCCTTATCCAAACGACGCTCCTTGGTGGTACTTAGAGAAGCTCTCCTCGGACTCATGTGATCTGTCGCATGCCTGGATACATCTGATGGCTCAGGGGCATCTGTCGGAATGCTCCCTCTCAGCTCAGCAGGGTCAAGGTACTTGAAAAAGGAACGGCCTTTAGGTTTGTCCGGCGACCATGCCATCGCACTGTATTTGAGTTTCTGGCCCATCTTGTCCATCGCCAGCTCTCGGGGAGCTGGACTATCGCCGCTTGCTGAGCTCTCGCTGAATTTCCGGAGATCGACTGCTTTCACCAAACACCCTTGGAAGATATGCTGTCCATAGATCTCCTGGGCCTTCTGTCGACCTATACCATCCTGCTGACGCACGACCCGAATCGGTGATGGCAACGCTGCTGAAGGTATTGACGTTGGTAACGCCGACGACAAACCCGTGGGCATCGACTGGCGGCGCCCCATACTCGCAGGAGTGCTAACAGGTGAAAGTTGTGAATCGGGGGCCCCGTAAAGGAGGTGATGGCGAGTCCGTGCTGCCAAGGTGGGAGGCGGTGAGCAGCCGTTATACGGGCGCTCTCGTGATGGTGGACTTTGCTCGGGGATTGAAGGCAGCAGCTGGGCGGAGTCTCTACGAGCCTGAGACGGTCTTCGCTGGTCAAAACTGTCCAACATTGCTCGCTCGTGCCGCCTCATCCCCTGGTCCAGCCCTGGCGTGATCAGATGGAGAGGACTTGGGAGACCATGGGGCTTCAGTGGTGGCTCGAAGATAGACGGACGACGACGCGGAGAACGAGGAGCGGGTATTGTACTTGCAGGCAATCCATACCGCAATGTTTCAGTCCGCACTGGCTCTAGTTTCAGTCGTGTTCTGGTCTGTGTCTCCATAGTGACTAGCTGGCTTTGATGTCTTGAGGTTTTGGTAATCCCAATGAGGCACAAATGAGATGGCTAACCGGTATGGTTCGAGGTAACAGTCCTTAGTATATGAGTCTCAGTGCGTTTGCTGCAAATCAGCCAAGAGGTTGTTGGTTGTTCGTTGGCAAGAGCACGATAATGATAACGGGCGGAACCATCTTTTCTGTCTTTTGTCGGCCAACGTCTGTCTTTCTTGACGGCGGGGGGGTCAAAGAAAGGAGCTGCTTTGAAAGAAAAAATTCACGGAAGCCGTTGAGTCAGATGCAGTCCTGCAAGACAAAGCTCCTCGGTGATATATCGCCTACGGGCAGATTTTGAACAAAGACACCAGGATGTGTGAAAACTCTGAGCTGTGAAATGTCAGTTGCAACATGCCGAGCTATCTCTCAGATTACTGCTGCAATGGGACACGACCGAACAAAGAAAAGACGGGGAGGCGCCATCAGAATGTGGAACCGAGGAGAAAGTGTTGGGAAGCGAGGTTGGGCTTTGAACTCCATCGATGCCTTCCATTCGGCAAACCAGCCGAATTGTGAGACAAAGGCGTTGAGATTGTGAACGATGAATGTGAGAGCATGTGAAGTTGGTGTTGGTGATGTCCAAGATGGTGATGTTGAAGTTGGTGTTTACGGAGGATTCCATATTAATGATGGACAGCTGGACAGGACCGGGCGCTCCTGCCGCTGTAGGGTGACCCCAGACGTAGAGTGGTCTTGGCACCTTCAAGCTCCCTCCATGATTGGTTGACATCGTCGGAGAACGGCAGCTCAGTTGCTTCCTTCCCGCAGATCTGGACACTCTGGAAGGCTGAAACCAGGTGCCGGGACTTGCAACTTGTCATCGCGAGGCTGTTGTTTGATCCCATTTTCCTCCGGGCATCATCACTACTCATTCTGACAACTTCTGGTTTCCGCCACCAGTTCCAATTCGAAAAGGCCAATCACTCCCCGGAGCAATGTGTCGCTAGCCGTCGAGCTTCACCCTTCCCCATCTCCCACGACCGCCCATCACCTTCCGTCATTCTCGAACTTAGGTACCTTACTGCGCACGTCGAACGGCTGCTCACCCTTCGCCCTCCATGGCTACCAACTCGACAACAGCCCAGAGCTATAAGCAGCTCAAAGAGGAATTTGTCTCAAACCTGTCAGGAGGTTCCGTTTCTGAAATTGCACAAGTCTGCGCCGTAGCACCTGTATGAAACAACAACCCCGGGAGCATCGGAATGGGATGCTGCTGTCCGTAGCATCATGTCACAATTCGAATGACAGGAGCTAATCTCTGTCTATCTCCTAGGTCGTTTCACTCGTCTGGTCTGTCCTCCAAGCTCGACAATCGTTCTTCAGGCCCTACACACCACTAGGCTATGCCATCGACTTCCTCCTCAATGTCGGCGCTCTCCTGCTCTCAGTGACGCTATACTCCTCCGCGCCCCTGCTCCTCAGCCTACTTCTCCTTACAACCGCCGCCTTTGTCTACATCATCCCAGCCCATACCCGAAGGAAGAAGCATCTGGTTCCTCCCAATGCCCAGTCCAAGAAGAGCTCCTCGGAGCAACCCCTCGGGGTCCTATCCACCAAGCCCTTCTTGACCAACTACCGCGGCAACATGCTTATCGTCACCTGCATCTGCATTCTCGCCGTTGACTTTCGTCTATTCCCCCGTCGCTTCGCCAAGGTCGAGACATGGGGCACTTCATTGATGGACATGGGCGTCGGCTCCTTCGTCTTCTCGGCCGGCGTCGTCGCTTCGCGGCCGCTGCTCAAGGAGCGTGCCGAGGGCAAGGCCACCCCTCTGAGCACTCGCCTCAAGACGTCGCTGCGCCACTCCCTACCGCTTCTCGTGCTGGGCTTCATCCGCCTGTTGAGCGTCAAGGGGCTGGATTACGCCGAGCATGTGACGGAGTACGGCGTGCACTGGAACTTCTTTTTCACCCTGGGATTCCTGCCGCCCTTCGTGGCGCTGTTCCAGTCCGCGCTCAAGTTCGTTCCCTCATATGCTGGCCTGGCCCTTCTTTTGGGTGTGGTGTATCAGGTTCTCTTGGAGACCACCTCGCTGAAGGCTTACATCTTGACTGGACCACGAACCGATCTCTTGTCCATGAACAGGGAAGGCATCTTTAGCTTCTTTGGCTATCTGGCCATCTTTTTGGCTGGCCAAGACACCGGCATGCTCGTTCTGCCTCGAAGCTTGGTGAGCCGCAGCAGCAACAATAGCAAGACAAACGGCGCCGTTCAACGCAGGTCTCTCCTGCTGAACATGGCCGCCTGGTCCCTCGTCTGGACAGCTCTCTACTTCTTCGCGACCGATTACAATTACGGCTTCGGCTTGACCGTGTCCCGCCGCATGGCCAACCTGCCATACATGCTCTGGGTGGCCGCCTCCAACGCTGTCCTGCTTCTCGCCTTCTACCTTGTGGATGCGCTCCTTTTTCCTTCCTTCTACAGCGCTCAAGACGCCAAGACCGAGAAGGAGCTCTACGACACAGCGACGAGTAAGGTCCTGAGGGCGTATAACCGAAACGGATTGGCTGTTTTCTTGCTGGCGAACTTGTTGACGGGACTGGTCAATATGACGGTGCCAACGCTGGATGTCGGCCGGGTGGCGACGGTGGGAATATTGGTTGGATATATGGGTGTTGTGACGGCTGTGGCGGTTGTGTTGGACGTGTATAATATCACGATCAAGTTATGAGAACGTAAAAGGTGATTATTTCTTTGTAATTAGTATGGTTAAGTCATGTTGAGCGACGCCCTCAGGGGCATTATACCAAAATTGGATGTGTAATTCGACTAGAACAAACCAACCATCAGTGGAAATTGCGTGAGTGGTGTTTTTCCAAGTTCCTGACTGGACTGGAGTATCCAGCGCCGGTGGAGTGACTGGCTGGCTTTGTTCAATTGAGGAAGGAGCGATGTTGGTTGCCGTCGGGTGATTTGAAACTAAGGATTGCAAACAGAAGGAACTACCTACTCAGTGCAATACACGGTGACAACATCCCCACTGTTAACCGGCAAAAGAGAACAGCCAACAAAAAAACAGAACACGCAGCGAAAAGCATCAGAAAAACCCAAAAAAAGCACAACGATCGTCGATATGACTTACACATAAATAGAGCAAACCGCCCAGTTTAAAGGGGGGAAAAAAGGCCAAAAATGTACGTCACCTACAGGATTCGAACCTGTGCTCCCGAGGGAATTGCCTGACATGCTATCGTGAAATAGCAGGGCAACGCGTTAACCACTCCGCCAAAGTGACTACCTGTTCTTGGATATCAGAGTGCCACAAAATGTACCCCTATATACCCATTTGTGCGTTTACGCCTACAACGTTACTTCTCCAGGTTGATTCCCAATCAGAAATCAAGACAAACATGTCGTACAATATTACGCTGCAATCCATCTACGTCTTGAAATGAAAAGGGCTTCTGGAGGCTCTATACGTATGCCACTGTTCTGCCTTCTTTTCGGTTAAGGGGACAATTTCATGCTTCGCGACGGGACTTGAGTCAGGCAGCTGTGTGTGGCAAGACGGCCCATCTACACTATCTACGGGAGGGATATGTCGCGTTCGTCTGAGATTATCAGGGTGTTCGTGCCAGCAAATGCAGTGGATCATCCATCTATTCTGTACCAGGAAACCGCCTGGAGTTTGAAAGAGCCGCCATGCGTGAAAAGCAAGGTCCGTCAGGGTAGTTGTTTATGCGCGCGGTGAGAGTGGTTGCATGAATATGGAAAGTTCACCACTTAAGTTTTCTACACATAATTTTTTATCACAGACGTACCAGAAGGCAATTGTTTATTGATTTGACCTTTTCTCGAAATCCGATCTACCTACCTAACGTATATAGCAGCATGTCAATCAACTTTTTGAAGTAACGGGTTAGTCACTTTGGCAAAGTGGTTACAGCGTTGCTCTGCTGTTGCGAGATAGCATGTTAGGCAGTTCCCTGGCGTACATACCTGTGTAAGATATATACATATGGAAGTGGAGGTACGTACCACCCATATCTCCATTACTACATACGCAAAGTGGTATTCTCAGATATTAAATTGGATATGGGAGGCTGACACACACCCGAACCTGCAAGCACTCTGCCCCTTACAGTAGCGTCGTCATTTCTTGTCAAGTGGCAGTTTTGTAGTGTACCTTTTTCGTAGAGCCCTTTGTCAGTTACTTTAGGTTCTCCGCCCTGTACCCCGGAATTTTAGGGCCTTTTCCATTTTCAGGTGTTTCGCAGCTTTTGCGGTGGAATGTTGATGTACGAGTCATGTGTATATCCGGGGTCGGCGACAGCCGGTTGGGTGTTGGTCGGCCACTTGCCCATTTTTGGATTCATGATGGGATCTCGAAAGATCGTATAGAAATTTCTACTGTATGCGCGCAGCGAGAGAGCCCCGGCTGGTTGGGCGCGCCAAACAAAGAATGTTCGATTGGAGTCGTAACCTGTAATCGTCTTTTTGAAGGAACAAAAGCGATGATGATAAAACGTTCTGATGTTGGACCGGTGAACCGCGGTAGATCTGGATGGAAAATGCCATGCGACGATGAATCAATTGGCTCGTGAACGATACCTCCCTTTTTGGGAAAATTCCTTCTGGCACTACATCCGGTCTGATATCTGTCAATATGGGTGAGACCTAAGCCAGGCCTCTGCTTCTGTCATACAACGTCATTACAGAGATGTTTCATGAGTGAAAAAGGGCAGGCAGCCACACCCCCATCCATCATCCCCTTTTCAAGGATGCGGACTACCATGCTGGGCCTTTGCATTTTTTCGAATGTCGAACTGGAAAAAGAAGCTTGGCCGGTCCCATGAAAGAAAAAGATCCCTGGAATATGGATCGATTGGGCGATCAGTATTGTCCAGGAGGTCAATGCTTCCCAATGAACCGTGATTCTCTATGTGGAATCGAGATGGAAAGGGGATTCCATCCAGTATACGGGATGTTAATCTGGCGGTAAACATGGCTAACACGACCACAGGCACCTTGCGACGAGAGGCGTAGAAGGCGTTTGAACGAAGGAAGCCCCCTTTTGTCGCAGCCTCGGGGTTCTGGTTGCGAATCAACCATCGTCTCACCAGATGGGCTTATGAGATGTTTGAGTGGTTGAAATTGCGAATGTAGGTCCGCAGTACCTTGTGTGAGAGCAACTGGCTGGTTGAATCTCGACGTCGGCTTGAAAGCGCGTGGAAGGATGTGTGTTCGCTGCACATTCATGCACCTGCAAAGTGCTGCAAGCTGCGAACCTGACCCTTGGGCTTCCCTCGGAGGATGAGCGATGCGTGAGAGTCTAACCCGAATAGGACAAGCGTGTGGGCTTGGCTACCTTACTGGTACCCAAACCGCCAACCCACGGCCAAACGAACATCGACAGTGACGGAGTTCCTCGACTTTGCGTGAGCGTGTGAACCTTTGAGTTGCCGTTAAGTTGCAGTGAAGCTGTGGAGTGCATTCGGATACGGCAGGACCGGCCAGGAAATGGGTAGATCATTGGGTCAGATTTTAAAAGTCGGTAGCGTGGTTGTCTGGAGACCGTTGCAATTGGAAAGAGCGGAGCTGGTGAGAGAGAGTCATCTCCTATTCTGCTTGGGCTTGGAGAGCCAAGTCGACGCCCAGGGTTGATGACCTGGATGGACTGGGCTGTGTTGAACAGCGGGGGGTACGGAGATTTCTTGCATTTTGGTCTGTCTTTTTCGAGGTTGGATGAGTGGGTGACTGAGTGGGTTTCTCGGACTGGAATTGAGATGACGGCAATGCGCGGCCGGTGCATTGCCCAAACAATTCTATTCTGGATGATGACAAGGCCTTTGTCTGTCCCGAAGTAGGTGGTCGCAGATTGAAACTCGCCAGATTCATGAGACTCGTTCTTCTGGAAGGAAATATCTGGACTAATTCGATATCAAGGGCTGCTGGGTTGAAACCGTCACCATGCAGTTCCCGACCGTGGGATGGTAGCATGTGTGGGTCATCAAGGTGCTGCATAGGCAAGCATTGAGCTGCAGGACCCTAGAAATAAAATAAGACGGGAAGAATGGGATCAACCGTCGAGTTTTGCACGCTCATTCATCGGTCTTGTTGGGCTTGGGGATGGAACTGCTATCTCCAGTAAACATGCCAATGATGCCCAATAAAAAGGAGACATACAACTGTGATGGATGACATGAGGTTGTGATGTATTGATTGCTGTAAGATTGGTTCCATCCCGTTAAGTTACAGCCCCGTGCGTAAAGAAGAAGTGGAGAAGGGTACCGCTTCTCAGCGCCTGAGGCGTCGGTGGGCACATGTACCCGATAGTAGTTCCCCTGGTACGGTAACAGCAGCAAATGCCCTGGGCTGTCCTCTTGCGTTGTGCGGAAGTGGTGCGCTGAATTGACGACGGCCGCTTGCACTTCCTTCATTCCGTTCTTGCCTACACGATTTCAAATTAAAGTCAACAACCTGAACGCGACGTTGACTCCGACCTTTCTCTACACCCCACGATCGATCACTTTGACTTCGCATGCCCGGCCTCGACAGAGCCAGACGGTCCATCATCGTACAGCAAAGTGTCGGGAATACCCTCGGATCCGCCCGTCGCAGAGTCTCAGAGCCGACTCGGATTCGTCCAACTTCATCGGACCGCCTGTTCTGTGACTGAGGAGAGTCCAAAGTAAACAAGGACTCCCCGGGCCCTGACTGCTGAGTCTTTCCACTACCGCGTCGCCAACATTGCATCTGCAACACTTTGACACCCGACGACAGGAGGCACTCAAACCTCAGTACATAGCGGTTTGCGATACCCCAAATAAACTCTTGCGAGACTCAGGGACCAATACACCTCATCTCGGTATCAAATACCTAAGATCCCATCCGAATTGGCCTGTTGGTGAATACCTCTGGTTACCCTTTGTAACTGCTAAATAGGTCGGCTAGCAGGCGGTTGCTTAGTCTCTCTGGTTGGCTCTGTACGCAAACAGGCATTCGAACTTTTTTCTATTTGGTTGCATTGTGTTTCAAAGTGGGAGCCCGTCCCGGACGTGTCAAGCACCGTCGTCGCTTCCATTTTTTTTTCCCTCTCTGTTGCTTCCACTTTCGTTTTTCCTTCCCACCATCCTCCCCGTCGACTCCCCCGTCGACTCCCCCGTCCGGCCCCCAGGTTTCTGCTGGTGCCAGACCAAATCAAGCAAGAACAAGCAGACCCCCCCCCTTGAGACCCAACTGGGACTGGGCAATCGCAGCGCTGGCCAAAGAGTACCAGCCGAAGCCAGCTCCTTGCCCACACAACCAACACACATCAAAACATTTGCCCAGCGCCTCCTCTAGTCGGTCCGCCGCTTCGCTTCACACACCTCGCTGTCCTCACCGGCGGTCACCTTTACCACCACCCCCGTCTCCTTCTCGTCGGCGCTTCATCAGAGGGCAGATCAAATGTCTACTGCTTTTCAGACAACGCCGAACCAGTCCATACCAGTATCCGCTACCACGTCGCCATCCAATCGCCAGTATTCGTCGTTCCACTCCGACCCGACAACGCGAGAAGCCCCCGGCTCCGGCTATTATGCAAACCAGCACAACGCCGGACAATCGTCGTCGCACACATCATCGCAACAACACTCCCAAAGACCTATCCCCTACGACCAACCGACCGGCTTTGAGCCTCACATGAGCTCCCGCACCGCCATTGCCCAGTCCTCCGTCCCGGTTCCCGTGACCTCCATTGCTTCCGACCAACCTCCGTCGTCTTCGGACAGAAGGCGAAATAATATGCCTACCGCCGTCCCTCCTCGAACATCGTCTCGTCATGATCCCAACACCAGCTCTCGACGCGCCCAACAGTCGGCCGATCGCGCCGCCGCAGCTCGCCAATCAAATGCCAATGGCACCATGGACCCAGCGGCCGCAGACGAGGCTGCCGCTCGGAGCCGTCGACAACATCAAATGGCACAGGACGCGAACCACAGGACGAGCAATTCTCGAGGGAATCCCATGACGACACAACTACCCGTCCGCTCACAGTCTAATACCACCAGCTCGAGACAGCAGTCGTCCAGAGAAGCCAGCGAGATGCTCAATAACATACTAATTCAACAGCCCGAAATAGATATAGAGCGGGAACGGGAGCGATTGGCCCAAGCACAAGCACAAGCTCATGCGCAGGCACAGGCACAGGCACAGGCACAGGCACAGGCACAGGCACAGGCACAACAGGCGAGCAACTACAACCACCATCACCGCCAAGAGGCTGCGTCTCAGGCTGTGGCAGCCCCTGGAGGCGATCATGGAGAGGAAAGTCGGCGCGGTCATAGAAGCCGGCACGACCATTCCAAGCGAGAAAAGCACACCAAATTCGGCGAATACATTCTCGGCAATACGATTGGTGAGGGTGAATTCGGCAAGGTCAAGCTTGGGTGGAAGCAGGAAGGCGGCGTACAGGTACGTGGGACGAATGTTTTGCCGTCCTTCAGCGTTATGCTTACTGATCTACCTGTGTCAAGGTCGCTATCAAACTTATCAAAAAGGACACAGTAGGAAACAATCCATCTCGCATGGCAAAAATCATGCGGGAGGTTGCTATTTTGAAGCAACTGACTCATCCAAACATTGTTCGGTTACACAAGATGGAGGAATCCGACAGGCATTATGGCATCGTGCTCGAGTATGCATCGGGGGGCGAGCTGTTTGACTACATCCTCAATCACCGATATTTGAAGGACAATGCCGCCCGGCGACTGTTTGCTCAGCTCGTGTCTGGCGTAGGGTATCTGCATAAGAAGGGTATCGTGCATCGTGATCTGAAGCTGGAGAATTTGCTCCTAGATCGAAACCGCAACATCATCATCACGGATTTTGGGTTTGCCAATACCTTCGACCCCCACCAAGAGCTTTCGGAGGAGGAAGAGCTAAACCTGTCGGATCGCGAGTTTGTCAAGCGCATGGGCCTCGATAAGGTCAATGACGCTGGTTGGCGAAAAGGGGATCTTATGCAGACTAGCTGTGGCAGTCCGTGCTACGCAGCTCCAGAATTGGTAGTTAGTGACTCCCTCTACACCGGAAGGAAAGTAGATGTCTGGAGCTGCGGAGTCATCCTGGTAAGTAGTTCAGCCCTCATCCTGCTGCTTGAACAAATAGCTGACGTTGGCTTAGTACGCCATGCTTGCTGGTTATCTTCCTTTCGACGACGATCCGGCGAATCCCGAAGGCGACAACATCAATCTCTTATACAAGTACATCGTCAACACACCCCTCACGTTCCCCGAATATGTCACGCCACATGCCCGGGATTTGCTGCGGAGGATATTGGTACCTAATCCACGAAAGCGAGCGGATCTGTTCGAGGTAGCCCGTCACAGTTGGTTGAGCGAATACTCGCATGTTGTCGAGTTCATCACGTCCTCCACCACCACACCTAGCGAGATCCAGAACACGACAGTACCTGCCGAGGACGAGGGCGAGCCTCCTCACCTTGCTCGTAGCGCTTCAGTACGTGAGGCAACGAAGAAGTCGACTGCCTCGCCGGCCATTGGCGGCTTGGTTAACAAGCAAGGCACCGTGGACCCCGAGGCTGAGGCTGCTCACGCTAAACAGCAGCGCGATAACAAGCGGCGGACGGTACAGGTCGAATATGTTGCCCCGAACACGACAACTCAAAGAGGTGATGCTGCGGGACAACAACAACAACCTTCCAGCAACGCCAATAGAAACCGGTCCGAACCTCAAGCACCTGTGGAATCCTCAAGCAGTCGCCCAACCACGTCGGCCAAGGACAAGCAGCTTCCACAAGGTTCCTCCGCCCCCAAGGACGCCTACGGCAACAAGCCCCCAGTTTCCTCAAGAAGACCGCCAAGTTCTCAGCAGAATGCCGGAAATACTCCCACTGCCGGTAACGCAGTGGCTCCTCCTAGGCCGAGCCGCGACGGCCGTCTTACCACCGAAAACCAGTATCTGTCAGGGGCAGCAGGTGCACCAACCCAGAGACCTACTACTGGCGGGTCCATGCAGTCAGGAAGACCTTCGTACGGCCAACCAGCACCACCTGAAGTCGCTGACGCTAACGTACACGGCAGAATCCAGCAACCATTCAAGGGATCCAGCAGCGGTCACTTTGGTGTGCCTACAACCACCCCCGCAGAGCAGCAACCGAACCAAAGCGTGGATTATGGCAGGCCCAGCATCAGCACGGGCTCTCGATTCGACAAGGTCCGGGAAGATGGCATTGTCAAGGGGCACAAGAGGTCCAGCACTATGGGTGAACTTGGTGGCAAGCTCTTTGGCCGGAGCGGTTCGTTGTTTGGAGGTAGGAAATCCAAGCGACAACAGGAGCTTCAACAGGCTGGAGAGAAGACCAAGAGGTATCCTCCTGTTAGCATGAATAACTCGATGCCTGGCGGTGACAACGGCTCTCGGCCCTCGTTGGATTCCAAGCGATCTCGCCGGTCCTTCTCGATGGGTATGGGGAAAAAGTCCTCTGGAGGCAGCATCACTGGCTCCAATGGCTCTCAGGAGAAGTCTAATAAGCGATTCTCCTTCATCCCCCCTTCACTATCAAGGGCTCTGGGCTACAACAAAGAAGACGAACCTCCAGCTCTCGGTTCACAACAGGAGCTGCCGATTCAGGAGCCCTCATCCGTTGATCAGTTTGTGGACCGGGAACAAAATGTGAGCGCTACCACTGTCGATGGGATGTACACTCAGCTCCAGGATTCGCAGCAAGGCTTACCCGGTGTCAATACTCAGTACCAATACGGACGACCGTCTGCTAGCCAAGGCTTTATGCCCGGGACCATGCCTGGATCGGATCCGTCTGTCAACAGCATGCCTCGAGCACCTGGGTCGGCTCCTCATCTACAAACCATGATTCAACAGGACGGATTATACGATGCTCGCAAGGGTAACAACCGGGCGAATCGTGGCGTTCTGCAAAAGAACAAGCGTTTCGTGGACTACGAAGGAGAGGGTTTTGCACGAACTCACGATCACTCTGGCAGCAGCGGTCCTGCAAGAAAAGTTATGGACTTCTTCAGGAGGCGCGGCAAGGCTCGGGGTGGTGAAAACAACTGAAGAAATGGCAAACCGGACATACCATCGATATCTGAGCTTCTCGCTTTCAGTCGACCGATCAAGTAGGGCTGGGCATTGGCTTCGTTTCTTGCGGCCCGCTGGTGGCTTGCGCACGACTTGACGTTTAGCTATCTCGACGGCTGGATCTTTGGGTCACGCAGCTTACTTTCGAACGGAGTTCGTCATTATTCCCTTGTAATAATTCGAGACCGAGAAACGAAAGATCCCTAAAAGTCATTTCCTGGTCTCAATTGCTGGCTGAGCGATAGTTTTATATCGAGTCTCCTCATTGTTATATCAGACGTCGGCGGATTAGCGGTTGGCGGATGCGGATATACCCATTGCTGCAAATGTTGCTTATATCTACTGTTTGCGACGGCTGGAGGAGTGAGGCCGAGTGAGTAGTAGTGAGGGAGAAGGACGGATGTTCCATCCGTAGGCGAGTTGCCATAACGAGGGGCTAGGACAGGGCTGCGAAACCAGAAGACATCTTTTGAGCCACTTTTGTAATAAGCTGTTGTTTTTCGTCTTTTTTTTTTCTTCTGCACTTTTCTGTCTGTCTTCGTATCTCTCTACTCCTTGTTGGCAAAGGGGAGTTACAACAATCGAATGTGGGATGTCTACTACTACTGCTTAGCTGGAGTTGTTTTGGTGTTAAAGGTTTCAAGAGACTTTCTCCTTTTCCAGCTTATAGGGCAAGCGGGAGGATATGTATGGTAGTGTTGAGAGTGGTTTGCGTCGATTATTTATCACCTACTTTGGCATGCATGCATGATGGGGGTTATGATATCCCTTTTCTCCTGCGAAACAGTATCAGCCTCTATACTATACTATACTATACTCATACATACTGTCACGGAGCATGTCGTCATGTTCTCTTCTCTTTAGCAAAGCCTGTTTACACTTTTGCTGTATTTAGCTTCACATCATCACATCCTCATTGCATGGTTAGTATAGGAGGGGCTTCATGTTGAGGGATCAGTGCCTGGTGAATTACTTGGACGAGATATCGGTTAGTGGCCATTATGTCGCTTGTTTGAAGACGAAGGTGGGCGATGAGGTTCTGTCACGGGGTATCATCACCAAGACCATCATGTCTACTATTTCTGCTGGTGAGTCCCAATGCGCCGCTGATGGCGAGGATATATACAAGGTGGCGACTGGGTATGTATGATCATGAGATACTGAAGTGTGAGGTGTGGTGAGGAAGTAGTGGAAGTGAGGCTTTTGGCAGAAAGTTGTATGTGATAATACAAGTACACTGCAAAGTGGAAGAAGTATGTATATGCACCACCTGTAAGTCGCTGACGAACGGGCCACCCATTGATTGTGCACGGCCTCGAGCCCTGGCGTGCCTGGTCGAGACACCATTCAATGAATGAGGAGACCTTGATGGCCAGACCATTCCGAGCCCCTGAATGCCGATGGCCTGACCTGACCTCCAATGTAAACAAAATTTGAAATGGTACGTACTGGCAGCCGTTCGCCACTGCCAGTTGTTGACTCACAACTGTCAGGCCACCCACTGGAGTCCTTATCAAGGTCCCCGTACCCCGCCGCCGGGCACTGGATCCTGACGGAAGCTTGGAAACTGCCCCGCCAAAATTCACCTTTCCGCGTCCTCGAATTACACTATTGCCGCGCCCAATTCACTTTACATCACCACGCTAGTAACGAATTCGACAAACCACGAACATGGCCGACAACGCTGCCACCACTCCCGCGCCCCCGGCCGAACAGCAGCCTCCCGCCGCTGCTCCCGCTGCCGAAGGCGCTGAGGGAGAGGGTCCCTCCAAGAAGGCGCAAAAGAAGGCTGAGGCCAAGGCCAAGAAGGAGGCCGAGAAGGCTCGTCGCGCTGCTGAGCGCGAGGCCGCTGCTAAGGCCGCCGGCAAGAGCACCGGACCGACCGAGGATCTCGCCAAGGACAACTATGGTCTCGTCAAGGAGAGGAAGGGACAATTCGAGCTGTCGGCTGATGTCGAGGATGTTAACTTGAAGAACATTGGCGAGGAGCACGTCGGCAAGGCTGTCATTGTCAGGGCCTGGGTCCAGAATGCCAGAATTCAAGGGTAGGTTGTGCCCTCTTCGGGCCTGTCGTTTACAAGTCGCCATGAAGGAAGAAAGATGGGCTGACCGGCTTATTATACTGCCACAGCGCGAAGATGGCTTTCGTTGAGCTGCGCGAGGAGGGCGCCTGGACCATCCAGGGCGTCTTCGTCGCCAACAACGAGGGCACCCCCGTGAGCAAGCCCATGGTCAAGTTCGCGGCCGGCATCAACCCCGAGAGTTTCGTCGTCGTCGAGGGTACCGTCGAGAAGCCCCTCGAGCCCGTCAAGAGCTGCAAGGTCTCCAACTACGAGCTGCACATCCGCAAGATCTTCGTTCTCGCTGCTGCCCCCCAGATGCTCGGCATGACTTTGGCCGCCGCCAACCGCCCCATCACCAACTTCAGCGACGAGGAGCCCGCTCCGGAGAAGGCTGCCGAGGAGGCTGTCGACAAGCTTTCCATTGCCGCCGAATCATCCATCCCCGCCGCTACCATGCTCACCCATCTCGACAACATCATCATGCACAAGCGTGCCCCCGTCCAGCAGGCTATTGCTGATATCCGTATGGAGGTCAAGGATCTGTTCAGGTCCTACCTCAAGAGCCACGGCTTCAAGGAGTTTGAGCCTCCTTGCTTGATCGGTGCTGCCTCTGAGGGTGGTGCCAACGTCTTCCGCATGCCCTACTTCGACAAGGAGGCATTCCTCGCCCAGTCTCCCCAGTTCTACAAGCAGTTTGAAATTGCTGGTGGCAGAAAGAAGGTGTTCAGCATCGGTCCCGTATTCAGAGCCGAGAACTCCAACACCCCAAGACACATGACCGAGGTAAGCTAGGAACGAAGGACATCAGATGAATTGGGAGAAAGGATGGAACTGACATGTGGCCTAGTTCACCGGTCTCGATCTGGAAATGGAGATCAAGAAGGACTACAGAGAGGTTCTCCTCATGCTTGAGGGCGTCCTGCTTCATATCTTCCGCGGCATTAAGGAGCGCTGCGCGGCCGAGATCGAGCTCGTTCGCTCCGTCTACCCCGCCGAGGAGTTCCTTCTTCCCGAGCCTGGCAAGGAGGTCAGGTTGACCTTTGCTGAGTATGTATCTCCCTTATCAAAACCCCACCTGCCCCTGAAAATCACCCCCACCGCGATAGCTAACACGATTGCCAACAACTAGGGGTCAGAAGCTTCTCCGTGAAGAGGGTCCCGAGGAGTTCCGTAACGTGACCGACGATGAGGACATGAGCACTCCCCAGGAGAAGGCTCTCGGCGCCATTGTGCGCAAGAAGTTCAACACCGACTTTTACGTTCTCGACAAGTTCCCCGAGGGCGCCCGCCCCTTCTACGCCAATCTCGACGACGCCAACCCCAAGGTCACCAACGCCTTCGACTTCTTCCTCCGCGGCCAGGAGATCCTGTCGGGCGGTCAGCGTATCAACGATCCCGAGGAGCTCGAGGCCCGCATCATCCAGAAGGGTGTCGACCCCAAGAGCAACGGAATCAAGGAGTACGTCGACGTGTTCAGACAGGCCGGTGTGCCCGCCCACGGCGGCGGTGGCATCGGTCTTGACCGCGTTGTGGCCTGGTTCCTTAACCTGCCTAGTGTCCACCTTGCGGCGTACTACCCCAGGACGCCCAAGAGGTTGCTTCCTTAAGTGACCGGGGAAGATTAGGAGATATGCGATTAGGGTTGCGAAAGTCACGAAGCGTGTTGGGACTTTTCTTTTTTTTTACTATATTTTTGACGACATAGAGTTCATGCCAAACCAAAAAGTTATGATGATCTTTGACAATGATACATCTTACTGGACTTACATAAGACATGTGTTAGATTCAACGGACAAACGCCTGCTGCACACAACGTTAAAGCCAGCTCGGAATTTGCGGTTTGGTGAGCCGGTCGGGCAACCGCAATACCAAGTTCTCCAGAATCCTGGACTTGGAGAAACTTCATTTCTCGCTACACACCTGACGCGTCAACGCAACAGATCCTATGAGATTCCAAATAATCCCCACTTCTAAAGCAGACAGTCGATAGATCTGCAGTCGGAAAATGTAGTTTCCCCAACTCCTGGATTCTGGATTAGTCTTCTGTAACAACTTCGAAATTGCTCCAGGACGGACGACTCAGGTCTTTGATAAGGGAACGGGCTTGAGCTATAACGGCGACCCTAAGCAATTTGCAGCGCATGGGCTTTGCGGCTGCATATGTAAAGCGATGCTTCACGGTGCAGAGGTTGTGTTGTTACAGGTGGAAGGTGCACTCCGTTTCCATTCAAGTTGAAGGTTTCCAGACTGTGTGGTTTGATAAACCATTTCCTCTCCACGGAACCAAGTCGCCAATTCAACGATTTCCATGCCGCGGCCACCAAGGCCAATTTCGTCCCAGTACCGGCGTCTGATGTCATCAGGGGGTGGAGGCTCGGGTTGGTGCCGCGATAACGGGAAGGTGTAGATGATGGGCCTGCATTACCTAGGTGTCGCGTGTTACGTGAAGCAAGCCGCCCGTGGATGCCACCTTTCAAATGCTTGCTTGCAGACCTTGCTTGGACCCAGCCAAGCTGTCACATTGGGCTTCTGCAGCTGTCGCATTGACCGCCGCTTTACATGTACATAGGAGACAGGCATTAACTCCACAGCAATGCCAAAGGGCTTGGATGATTCCATGTCGTCCCTTTTTTCTGCTGATTTTGTGCCCAAGAGTCGCACGAGTTTGTACGGGTTGCGACTAATCGATACGAGAATGAGCTTGGGAGCTTCGCTGGTGGTGCTAGAACAACGTTTGGATGATGAAGGTGAGTGCCAGTGCGGCGTTTCCTGGGTTATAAAATGCATACTGAAAGAGGAAAACCGGGTGGAGGCTTGGCCATCTCAATGGGCCGTTGCATGTTCTGGAATGTCAAGCAGCCCATGCAATCTTCCATGATTTTGTTGTGCACTTGCAGTTGGAAACGGAGGAACTTGAAACAATAATTCAAGGGACCTTCCCACCTTTCAACACGGAAGCGATATCCCTAGCAAGAAGGTGGTACGGCACATACGCCATAGTACAGTATCATGGCGACCAACGCATCTGGATCTGAACCATGAACAATCTAAAAAATCAAGGAACATTCACGTGCTCCCGAGAGTGAAGCGTAAAACTAGGGTATGGTGACATTGGGAAATGGCTTGGTGAAGCTTGTTTTGGTTGTCCAGCAAGTTAGACAAGTCCAGCTCTCACCGCCGATAATCGTCATGGCTTTCACCATTCGGAGAACATGAATAAACTCCGCCGCGATGGAGTCCCGGATGAGGTCAGCGAGTGGCAAGCTCGGACCCTTCCACAGCATGGTTGAGCTTTCAACTGAGCACCGCTATCTGGGACTGACGAATCCGGCCTAGCGTGCCAATTGGTGAAGCGATCCAGCCTTCCAGCGGCCTCCCACCACGGCACCACCCAGCCAGTCGCTTCCAGTTGGTCCCACTAGCCAACGACAGTCAACGCCAAGTCTGTGTCGATCCCCCGGCTTGCCCCTTCCACCCACATCCACTTTGTCCACTTGTTCCCTTTCTTGGCATGGTCTTATAAGTCCCTGTGCCTATCTCTGCTACCTCCTGCCCACGTTGTACCTACCTACTTCTGTCCGACTCCCGTCCCAAGCAAACCTAATCCCCAAGCCATTCGGAATCAACATAGACGCAGAACTTCGGACTTACAACATTCCCCCACAGCTTCGCATCTGCATTTTCCAGCCTTAACTTTCTGTCTTTTCCCCGTTGCAGAGCAGCTGTGGTTGAAGAAGTACACGCCCTCTCCCCTCGAACGAGTCGACCGGTCTATTTCGATGAAGGAACCTTCGAATAATTCCTCGCACACAAATCGCATTCGCTCCTGGGCAACCTCCAAGACGCATGGAGCCTCAGCCCCCGTCAGCTTGCTTCCCATAAGCAACCCTCCCACCGGTACTGACACCACCGCCAACACCACCACAGCAGTCGCCCAAGATGCCACGCTCAACGACACCAGCCGCGGCGGGAACGTGCCCTCCGCGCACCAGCAACCCCAGCAGACTTCCACAGACTCCTCGTCAACCGGCGGCAGCCATCACAAGGAGGATAGCAGTAATGGCGCCAAATCCCCGACGGCTACCTCACACCAAGCTGCGGGGCAGGGGCCTGAGTTAGAAACTACGGTCTCTGCTGCCGCTCAGGAACATGAGCAGAAGCAGAAGCCGAACGTCGCAGTTAGATTTACAAAGGTCCTCAAGCAGGTCTTGTTTCACAACAAGCTCGTGAACTTGATGCTGGTCTTTGTCCCCGTCGGCATTGTCGTCAGCCAGCTACCGGGCTCCTCACCTGGTCTTGTCTTTGCCATGAATGCCCTCGCCATCGTCCCTCTTGCCGGCCTCCTCAGTTATGCCACCGAAAGCGTGGCCCGTAAGCTTGGAGACTCGCTCGGCGCCCTGTTGAACGTCACGTTCGGCAACGCTGTAGAGCTGATCATTTTGTAAGCCCACTAATCAGAAAAAGAAGAAGAAAAATAAGGTCCCATGTCTGTTTGGGACAGTTGTGCTAACACTCCTTCAATAGCATGTACGTTTTTCACCTGCCAGTTGGTAATCTGATAAAGACAAGAGAGAGCGAGAAGCCCTTCTGTAATAGGACAAGGGCACTATCGGATCAATTGCGTCCCAAATCATTGATACTGCCTTCATTCCCGTCACTCACATCCCCATGTTGCTGAGTCTGTGTCTTGCTGTGTCATTCCCCGTTCAAAATCTGTCTATATGCTTACAAAGTCGGTTTGTTCAACGTTAACAGTATCGCCCTGGTCAAAGTAAGCTTTCCAAGCTCCACCCACCCATTACGGGACCCCCAACACAGCTAACCACGGTTGCAGAACGAGATCAATATCGTACAGGCTTCGCTCCTTGGCTCGATCTTGGCCAACCTGCTCCTCATCCTGGGCATGGCGTTCTTGCTTGGCGGTCTTCGTTTCCGAGAACAGATCTACAATAGCACCGTCACCCAGATGAGTGCTTGTCTTCTCAGTTTGAGCGTTATTAGCCTCGTCTTGCCTGTATGCTCAACTCAGTGCAATCTTATTTGGTTTTGGTCTGCTAACACTCTTACAGACTGCATTTCATTATTCTTTCATGGAAGCACCTGACACCGAGAAGAAGGACGTTGATCAGAAGACACTGAAGATCAGCCGCGGCACCAGTGTTGTAAGTTTTCCCCTGCTCAATCGGAATATTTCCAACGCTAACTTGACCGCAGATTCTGCTGCTTGTATACGTTATTTACCTTCTCTTTCAGCTCTTGTCCCACTCTTACCTCTACGAATCTACTCCTCAGCATATCATTGATGAGGAGTCTACTCCGGGACCCGCCGCTGGCTGGCTCGATTCCTCGAGCTCCGACAGCGACTCTTCCACAGATTCGGACTCTTCGGACTCGGACTATTCTCGTGAGACAGTCTCCAAGAGGATGAAGCGTGTCATGCGTGGTGGTCACCGCAGAAGAAAGTCGAGCATCATTTCGAACCTTACGAGCGAGAGCGTTGTTGCAGGTCCTGCTAGGACCCCCTCGTTCGGTACCAGTGATGTTACCCCTGGTTACGATGAAGCCGCACAGGAGGAATCGTCATCGCGACCCGGACTCGCCGTCAATCTGCACAGCCCTACAACCGAAGGAAACGAGGAGGCCGTTGAAGACGAGAAGCATTACCGCAGGCGGCATAAGTATAAGCGACACATGAAGAAGCATCGCAAGAACAAGCACAAGAGGCATCACCACAACGGGTCTCAGGAGTTTATGAATGGACAAACCATCGAGGAAAGCGCCGAGGTCCAGCCGGACGTTGCGCCAGCACTATCGCCTGGCGAGCCCCGTCGTGTCGACTTCGCCGTGGATGGTGCTACCTCTGCCGATAACGCCCAGGCTGAGACTTCAGCTGGTCGTCGTCCTTTCCCCGGTCTGCGCGGCATGTCCCTCCGCCCTGTCGCTAGGAACTTGACACCAGCTGTCTTTGTCACCAGCCCCGATAATGTCAACACGCACCGGTCTCCTCCGGACCTGTTCCGCGCGTCCGTTACGGCATTCGCAGGACGAACTCGCTACCGGACCGCCTCAGCCAATCATTGTACCGTCCTCAGGGTGCCGTGATGCCTTCCCAGATTCCGATGTCCACTGTTGTTGACGGCGCTGTCCCCGATAGAGACGAAGGTCATCCCGACGACTTGTCCCGCATCAGTGCTGTTGTCCTCTTGCTCGTGTCTACGGCTTTGGTAGCCGTCTGCGCCGAGTTCATGGTTGACTCAATTCACGACCTGGTCGCGGCTGGCAATGTTCCGGAGCTCTTCATTGGCTTGATTATCCTTCCCATCGTCGGCAACGCCGCCGAACATGTCACGGCTATTACCGTTGCCATGAAGAATAAGATGGATCTGGCGATCGGCGTCGCTGTGGGTAGTTCTATCCAAATCGCCCTCTTCATCACGCCGCTTGTTGTCATTATTGGCTGGTGCATGGACAAAGACATGTCGCTCTACTTCACGCTGTTCGAGACGGTATGCCTGTTCGTCTCAGCTTTCATCGTCAATTTCTTGGTGTTGGATGGCAGGAGTAACTACCTGGAAGGAGCGCTTTTGTGTGCGACATACGTCATCATCGCTTTGGTGGCATTTTACTCGCCCAACCCGACTGTACCGGGTGAGAGTCCTTAGAGAGATGACACAAAGACGGTGAATGCTACAGAAGGCGACGGATATGGTTGATTGATGAGGATCATGCAGAAGTTATGAGGCGAGGACGTTTTATACCTTTTCTTTTTATGTGCCAGCATACAGATTCACAGAATGTAGCTGAGCTGTTTATGTACTTTCTGCTTCTTCGTGCATTAGTCACTTGGCTGGCTGGCACGGTTAATTGGACTCTTGGTTTGTGGCAGCAGAAGAGGAACGCTATGGCTCTGACGAAATGGGGCCGGCATGATGTTAATGATGGATGGCGGCTGCTGAGCACCTAGCCGTAGAATATCATGCGAGAATGGAATTACGAACTGACCTGGGAGCGACTTGTGCTTTGTATGAATTAGATGAGGTATAGTGTTTGCTCTGTAAGTCTCTAGTTACCTGTCGCAACAATCACCTCTGGTGTTCACCAAGATCGATGTGGTCTGTCTTCGATCGCTTCTAGGTAAACAGAACGTTGAAAGGGGCAACCGTACTACAGTGCACATCTACAGTGTGGGATTGAGAGGAATATGGCGCGGCAAACACCGCCTGCAGCAAACTTGAACGCCCTGCCAATCCTCGCACATAGGGTAGCTTGGCTCCGTAACTCGCGTGGATCGACCCGCGCATCCATTTTCACAATCGTCGAACCCTCAACCGCCGTAGCAAATCATCGCCAACTCTCCGCCCTCAACCACGATTGCAAGAGGAATTCCGCATCATGACTTACGACTGGGATCCTTATAAAGAAATATGTCGACGTCTGTACGTCGATGAAAGGCGAAGCTTTGGCCAAGTTGCCCGGTACATGGCCGAGAACCATGGATTTGCCCCTAGGTACGTGAACGACACTCCTCGTCCATCTCCCTCGCCGTACACAGTATCACGATCGGGCATCCATCACAGTCTTGGGTGGTGTATATAGCTCGCGCAGCAAAACCCAAGCTGTCGACAGCCTCTTCCACAACGCCATATTCCCTTGTGTTTTATCTTGGCCGACCTACTGATCATGACACTCTACTTTCCAGTCGACGCACCTTTTGGTACAAGTTCAGGGAATGGGGCTGGCCCGTCAGAGTCAACAAAGCCTACAGCAATAAGGAGTTGATAGCCAGAGTCAAGGAACTATGGGAACAGAACCTCAAAGGAACGGAGATGCTGCCCATCCTCAACGAGGAAGGCTACGACATCAACGATCGTACGCTCAACAGGATCCGCCAAAAGTATGGTTGGAAATTGCGTTTGAAGACCATTCGGGACCTACGCAAAGGCATCATCAGGCCGCCTGGACAACCGGCTGACGGGACAAACAATGGCGACAACAACAATCATGACGAGAACGACAGTGATTCCGCTGATGATGATGACGATGACAGCGACAGCGAAGAGGTAAGTAGCGAAGAGGACGAAGATGAGGAGGAAAACGCCGCGGAAGGCAACGGACAAGGGTCGTCTAACACACATGGCCAACATCAACATCAGCAACAGCATCAAGACCAACACCAGAGATCAGGATCTGGAAGCTTGCCACTTGGCCCAGACGCCGAACTGACCCCCGAACAACGTGCTCGCAGAGAAGAGAGACGCCGGGTTCTCGAACAAGAATCGGCAGAGCGTTGGGCTCTCAAGAAGCGGCGACGAAGAATAAAGGGGTGGGCCGGCCTGCCTGCAGATCCGAGTGGTCTGCCTCCTCGCTTTCCATCCGAGACAACCCTAGACGAAGCCAAGGTCATCCTGCAGCTCGACGCCGCGACCTACAAGGCGCTACGGGAGAACTTTGAAAAGATTTGCCGGGAGAACAACGTTATCAAGAAGACGATTGCCGGGCCTGAGAAGTGGGAGGCCCTGAAGGAGCAGATGATCCGCGATAGCATGCATCTCCGTGCCATCATGTGGGATCAAGCCAACATGGAGCAGAAGAAGATTGCGATCGATGTTATCTGCTGCGACGTGACCAAGCGGATCAGGACGATGCAGTCGCACATGACACTAGCACAGGCCCGAACCATCCTCGGACTGAACCCGGAGCAGGGCAGATACATTCGAGGAACGCTTTATCTGCTGCTGGGTCAGGAGAAGTTTGGGTTCAAGTACGTCGAAGGCATCGACAAGTGGAACGAAATGGTACAGAAATGGTTCGACACCACGGAGCTGCTGCAGGAGCTTTTCCCTCCAGGTTGTGAGCACTGGCCGAACGCCAAGGAGAGGAAGAGGGCTATCGAGCTGCTGGCCCGTGACGGGATGAGGAGATACAGAGGTGATCAAGCAAAGTTGGAGAAGGATCCGAATGCTTTGGACCCCAAGCCGCCTCGGAAGCGTGCCCCTCCGAAACCGAAGCCGGGCCCGACTCCCGCTCAACTTGAGTGGGCCGCAAAGCGAGCCGAAAAGGCTGCTGAGAAGGCCGCGAAGGCCGCTCAACCCAAGCGGGGCCCTGGCCGACCCCCGAAGAATAATACGGCGGGACCATCAATGGCAACGGCAACGGCACCCCATACAGCTGTGCGGCTCGCGCCAGTAGATTTGTCGAGCTCGTCTGAGAGCTCATCCGAAAGCTCCTCGGAGGAGAGCGAAGCGGAACAGGATGTCCAGATGGTAGACGACGGCGACTTGGATCCGGATATCCTGCTGCAACAGTCAATTGAAGCCGATAATAAGTTCGGGAGTCATTCTGCCAACACGCCTGCTGCCAGCGGACGCGGCGGTGGTGCCAACGTTGGCGCCAGTACTCTCAATGCGCACGCATCTTCACACAATCCGAACCTCACGCAAACCCGAAGCCGGGCCAAAACCCGTTCTCAGGCTAAGAGTCGTCCTCAGACTACGCAGAATTACACACCCAGCCGTATTCAGATGCAACAAGGCTATAATAGCACTTTGAACCAGGGCTTAACTCAATCTTATACCCAGCCGCAATCCACATCCGCTATGTATACACAGCAGCAGCAGCAACAACAACAACTACGCCTCCAGGAGCAAGCCATCCAGCAACAAGCAAGAGCCCGGCAGCAACATTTCCAGCAAACCCAAACCCCCTCTGTCCCGACTCAAGTCCAAGTCTCACAGCCGGTGACAACCACCTCTTCCCGACAACAGCACTTGCAAAGCCAAACCCCATCGGTCCCGACTCAAGTCCAAGTTTCACAACCAATGGCACGAAATATCTCCTCAACCTCCGCCTCCACCTCATCCTCATCCATGGCCGTCTACTTCCGCCTCCACGACTCCTCGCCGCTTCGAGGCGTGGTCTCACGTATGTGGATCGCCACGCTCTCGGGCCGGTCCGTCCAGGAACTACGCAGCACCGCGGTAGCCAACTATCCGGGCGTGGTATGCTTGGCCATCGAGGGAATTGTCAAGGATGGAAAAGGTGGAGAGCTGCCGTTGCCGGTTAGTGATGATATGGAGATGGAGGCATATTTGCAGCATATTCAGGGTATGGGGAGCGGGGCGCCGACGTTTAGTGTTATGCTGGTGCCGGCGGCGGCGGCGGCGGTTGTTGGGGGGTCTTGGTAGGGATAGGATATAAGGGATATAAGGGATAGCCTCGGGATAGGGGTTACATGGGAAATAGAGACAGAGGCAGGACGGGAGATTGTCAATGGCATCGGGGTGGGTCTCAGATACTTTCCAGTTAACTCGTACCCTGTAGGTGTGCCACTGGCCTTGCATTTGGCATGAACTTTAATATAAGGATAATATGGTAAGAGAGATTTACTGCATAAACTCAACGAAATCCAACGTCCGGTTCCTGAGCCGGATGGCCCCGGATCTCGGACATTTTGAGTCGAAGCGTTGGACGTCGGCCGGCAGGTGCTCCGGACTTTGGCGGTGGATTTCCCGGTGGAGGCCTCCACTTTCCCCCGATCTGTACCTGAACAAAGACGTCATAAGGTGCCAGGGGCTTAGACGCTGCGCCCAGTGGGATTTTGGGGAACCGTGAGACCTTGTTCAGGGCATGTTTTTCGGGGTACAGCAGCCTACCAGAGCAGGTTAAGCTTGTGATGGCTGTGGTAACGACACTTCACCATCTCTTCCCTTCATCATCACATGGAATTTAGGACCTCTGTTAACGCACTTGGCTTGTTTCTAACTGGCACTTGGCAAGTATCACCAAGGTGAAGACGGGTACGTATAACTTCATGCATGAGTGTTTGTAACCACTGTATCCGAAAGTCCGATCGGACGGATATGGACCAACACTAACAACGAACGAACAACTGGCCAGCCCCGTCACATTAACAACAACCTAACAACTGAATACAAAGAGCGGCAACTTGGGACTCTCACAACATCACAATATCACCTGAGCTGGTTAAGCGATTGGATCACTTCCACTTGGCAATACCAAGGACAGCATCCACGATAACCCAAGCGGTCTAAGCAAGTCTTGGGAAGCACCGAACCTTGGCACTCGGAAAAGATCAAAGATTCATCCCTCTCACCGTGGCCCGTTTTACGCCTTCTCTTCTCGTCATCTCTAGAGGCGAAGCAACGACATAGTAACGGCGGTGATATAATCGCGAACAAACACAACCACTCGCTGGTCACCCTTTCCCAGAAACTGCCCGCATCTGCGTCCTCGAATATTAGTGGTGTAAGACATCCCACCCAATCGGCAACCTCGGCTATTACTCTCTTACCTACATCATATAAGAGTTGGCCCAGCCATCCATCAGACATACTTCACCATGTGTTTCGGAAGCAAAGACAAGACCGACGATACACCCGGTCCTCGACCGGCACAGCATCAACAGTCACCACAGCCTTCAGCAGGAAAAGTCAACATGCCTTCACCAAGACAATCTCTACATCAGCAGCGGCCTCACTCGCAGCAGCATCAGCAGCCTCAGCAACAGCCGGTTTATGGTAACAACAACAACCAGAACGACTATGCCCCTCCTTCGGGACCTCCCCCGAACTTTGGCCATAACCAGCAACACTCCGGCGGCAACGACTACGCTCCTCCGTCCGCTCCTCCTCCGAGCTGGGGCCATAACCAGTCCTCTGCAAATGACGATTTCGCACCGCCCCCGGGCCCTCCCCCTTCTCATCACCGGC